TCATTTTCAACGTTTTTAAATTCCTTGTTTTATTGTTGTGATTTTTTTTTTTATTATTATTTTCTTTTCTTTTATGTAAAGCACTTTGAATTACCATTGTGTATGAAATGTGCTATATAAATAAACTTGCCGTGCCGATATAAGAAACGAGCCAGGAAAGAGCTGAATCAGTGATACCGATATCAGAAAGATAACCGTGTCAAATGCAGAACTTGTGCTTGTGAATAGCTAGGTAAGTATATTCTTCATAGGTGATCTAAATAATGGAAAACTAAAACTGAAGTTTATGAGCTTATGATCAGAGAAAGCAAATCAGAGCCAGTAACAAGAACATTAAGTAAGCCAAACGTACAAATGAGATCCAGTATATGACCCCTTGAGTGAGTAGGGAAAGTTACATGCAGGGTTAGATTGAAATAATCCAGCACAGACATCAATTCATCGCATTGTACAGTGTTTTCATGTATATTAAAATCACCAAGCAAAATAACGGATGAATGATTAGCACAGACAAGAGTAAGTAATTCACTTATATCAGAGAAAAAATCAGGAGATTTTGGGGGTCGATATATTAAGATTACAGCCAGTGATATTTGCCAAGTCATTTTAACAGTAGGAGCACAATGATTTAATAGTCTGGTTATGATCTTTTTTTCTTCTTCTCCACTATGGTTAGAGAAAAGTCACCTGATGGAGGTTTGACTCCGGTCACCTTTGGCTCGATCAGTGAGAGCTTACAGAGAATTATTATTCAGTAAAATGAACAGTAGGAGCACAATGATTTAATAGTCTGGTTATGATCTTTTTTTCTTCTTCTCCACTATGGTTAGAGAAAAGTCACCTGATGGAGGTTTGACTCCGGTCACCTTTGGCTCGATCAGTGAGAGCTTACAGAGAATTATTATTCAGTAAAATGAATCTATTCAGCTGTGCTTGCAATGATCCAGTGAAGTCACTGAAAGACTGAATAATGTCTGCTGAGCTGCTTTATAGCTGAAATTCCTGACTGCAGTTATGCAGCACTGACCTTATATTCCGTTTACTGCTGTAAAGCTGATCTGTACTGTAATAGCCACATCATAAATCAACTTGACTTATTTGTGTTGTTAATGAGAGAATCTGACCTCCAGGACGAGGTTTCAGGATGAGATCCACGACTTCCTTCCAGTTGTTCTGCAGAATCGCCCTGAGAATAAGAGCCAAGAGCAAACCGTGAGTTTCCCTCACATTCCCTCTTCACACAGGTGTGTGTGTGTGTCAGTGTACATGCTAGTGTGTGTGGTCACCTGCCTACTGTGTGTCTGTGTGTGGGCACGGCTGTGGTGCCGAAGCGCTGCATGCCGTAGTAGTTGATGAAGCCGGTTTCTCTGAGTGAAGTCATGGCCTGTTCCACCTGCTCCTGAGTGCCGGAGATATTCCTGTAGAGGAGAGACGCTTCACGCTTAAACACACTGCATGGCCACACGCTGATCTACCTGCAGCAATAACCAGCTTAACCAGCTTGTGCCAGTGACAAACCAGCAGTGCTCATAGAACTTCAACATGAGGGGAATAAATCCTGGCTTTTATATTTGGGTGCACTAACCCTTGAAAACCAGCTCAGAATGAAGTGAGTGTAAGCTGGTTTAAATGTCTATCTGGTTGGAGACAGACAGCAGCTCACAGGAGTCAGTGTCTCACCTGAGAACCACCGTGAAGTGGTTTCCCTGCAGTTCTCCCAGTTTTAATGGATGCTTCTTATAGCTGAAGTTCCCCAGCTTCAGGTTCATGAGGCATTTGTTGAGGTGAGACAGTCTCTCAGCGCTGATCCTGTGGAGACACGTTCAGATTCATGTAAACACGGGCGAGTCTGAGGACAGCAGACGTCTGACGGGCTTCACTCACTTCAGCACTGCGATCTCCTGCACCGTGACGGCCCTCTTGTCTTTGGTGCCCATGTAGGAGAACATGTTGGGTCTGACCCTACAGAAACAGAGGAGGAGCTGTGAGCGGGGCGTTAGGGAGCGGCAGCGGCGGCTCAGACCAGCGTTTCACAGACCTGAGGAACTTAGACAGGAGGTTGATGGCGTCCATGGTGTCCTTGTTCTCCTTATACAGCACGAAATGACAGAAACTCCCGCGGTTCTTCGGCCACGAGTGCTTTCGAGGGGCTTTGGTGGGACACATGAGGAAGAGACGAAAGACTCAACATGAAAATGGACAAAGAAATGTAGCACAGACTCAATCAACATTTAAAATATTATTTTTTAATTGCTTTGTTTTATTTTTAACAAAATCGTACATGGTCAACACCAGCAGTGCAATATCTACGCAAGGTTAGACTCTTCATCAAATCTAGTCTAGACAGCAGCATTACACGTGCTACTGAACTGAGCGTTTACACTCACAGCTGATTATATTCAGAACACCTCCACAGTACTTCTATGCAATAACAGCGGAAAGCTTACAGCTTTTTAATATTTCTGGCGGGTCACCAAAATAATTCATCCACCGTTTCCTGATTGTTTTAACATCTTTAGTCACAGCCACTAGACGGCGGTCAAGAGACAAGCTTTGAATGAATCTGCAGCAGAAGGACAGATCCCTGCTCTTACCTGCCGAGGGCCGGAGCTCTGTCCAGAGAGCGAGAGGAGCGTTAGGAGAACAAGAGAGCGTTACTCAGGACAGAGAGGACACACTGAAGCACGTCATGCAGGCCAGAGCTCATCGAGTGATCAAGCACCTTCACTACTCACTCAGAGTCCAAGCTCTGTAGCACAGCAGTACCTGCCAGCGCGGTCTTCCCAGCAGCGTGATACGCCACGATGAACTTCTTCCCGTCTCTGTCCTCGGTCTTGGTCTCCAGGCCGGGATACAGCGTCTTCACAGCTCTGTGCAGAAGAGTGCGCTTCTCCTTCGAATCCTGCTGCACCTGAAAGACTCCGTCTGTTAGCCAGCCTGTGACGGTTTCCCACAATGCACTGGAGCTTGATGCTCAATCAAACAGAAGTAATCAGCTCACTCATGAACGCTCTCATAACCAGCAGGTGCGCCGTCTTTGATTAAAACTGCAGAGCTGCAGCGTTTCAGTGGCTATATAAAACTCTTATTTACTTCATGAACACAAGCTCAGCTTTTCAAGATGCTAAAACTAACCCTTTAGTTACTGTCCTGATCAAACGACGCATCTTTTGCATTCATTTTACGAAAAAAACCCCAGCTGAAGTCTTGAATATCTCTGCCCATAAACACTAGAATATGGAAGTGACTTTTACTGTAACTTCTGATCACACTGCTGCTCTTCCTCAGGGTTTCCCGTGCGAACCTCTGAAGATCCTTACATCTGGATACAGTTACTGGAGAACAAAAAAAGTCTTGTTTGCTGTGAAACTGATCAAAATGAAGTGAGTTTATGATTATTTGTCAATGGGCTCAGATTAAATCCACTTAATTCAAAGAGAAACAAGTTTTCATTCCCCATTGTCTGATATTTGCTCATGTTTTAATCATAAACTCACTTCATTTTGTTCAGAAAACAAGACTTCATATCCTCATTTTGCATTTCCAGTAATTATATCTTGATTTAAGGATGTTTAGACATATGTACTGGAAAACAAGACAGAAACGCTGAGGAAGAGATTCATTTATTTCAGTTCATGCAACATTTAATTACATTTAAGAATGTAAGACTTTCTGCTCTATTTGTGGATGGGCGAATCAAGAGTTTTTAAGACCTGCAGAAGCCCTGAATAAAAGGGCATGTATTTGATTCGAATGAGAAGCAGCATGTGAAGCACAGACGAGAGCGTCTGACCTCGATGGCCACGCTGGCCTCTTTGTTCTTGAAGAGCTGCAGCTCCTCCAGCTGCTGCTTCTGCTCTTCTGTCAGCGTCTGAGAGTCGGTTGAACTGCACTCCGGAGACTCTTCCTGCCGAGACAAGAGCACTTGTGAGGTGAGTTAGAGTCTAGGGTTCGGCCTGGAGCACAACACTAGCAGCCTCTCACCTCCACATCAGCAGGAACACACAGATCATCCAGACGAACCGTCCTCCCCTCTTTATTGATCTCATGCACCACAAAGTCTGAGTACCTACAGAAGAAACCACGCATGTCACCGAACACACACTCCTGTCACACTTATACACACACACACTCCTGTCTCACACACACACACACCTCTCTTTCAGGATGCCGGAGAAGCCTCTGTGCTCGCTGATGAACTTGAGAATGCCCACGTCTGTCTCACTGAGTCCGTGCTTCATCATGTCAGCGAAGCTCTCCCCCTCCTCCTCCTCCTCCTCCTCCTCACACAGCTCCTCTTCCTCATCTCCTCGGCTCTCCTCCTCCTCCTCTTCCACTCGGAGTCTCTTGGCGGCGTGACCCGGATGCTCTTCGGGGAAGCAGCGCTTCTCGCCGGTCAGAGCCTCAGTCTGCTCCATCGGCCTGAGCTGTGAATAACTTACATTCACACAATATTCTTACTCTGGCTTATCTATGTATTCACAATTAGGAATCTAATTCTAGCAGGAATTATAATGTACTTTTACTCACGTCGTAGACGACAGCTGCAGGAACAGTAGGGTGCGAGGGACTGTGAAGTCGGCTCTTGGATAGCAGTAACAAATGCGCTTAAAGACGGACTGAGAAGGAAACCGCACAGATCTGAAAGCACAGAGACAGCAGAGTCAACGCGAACAAAGTAAATCTATTCTAAAGCACACAAGTCTCAGGACTGGAGCAGAACATAATGTAAAGATCTTACTGCACGCACACGACACAACAGCTCCTCTTCTTCTTCTTCTTCTTTGACGTTTTATGGCGGTTGGCAAACCAGCTTTAGGTGCATTTACCGCCACCTACTAGGATGGAGTGTGGAGCAATGACGTTAAAGGAAAACTTAAAAAAAAAAAAATTATAATAATAATAATAAAATTAAAAATTATAACATCACTTATATATTTATTTAATTCATCAACATCTTCTATCGATATATCTATTGTCAACATTCTAGTCTCACTTATTTCTTGGAATTTTTCCCAGTCCGAACCGCTCCTCAAAACATCCACACGTGTTTGACTCTCACATGCCCCGGAAACGAATCCTACACAAAGGCCCGCCCCCCGACGGACGTCATTGGCTTACACCATTGTCAATCATAGCACTACAATTCAGATTGCGCAATCAGGTGTAACAGCGCCAGACACATATGTAACATTAGAAAGTAACGCATGTAGTAATGATAGCATTAATAACAACTACATTAATTCGAGCAATGATTTTCCTTATAAATTAAACACAATTACTTATACATTTAAAAATGAATACACACTCTTTTGCAGGTGATTTTGAATTTACGCTCAGCTGTGCAAATCTACCGGCTGCGTGGAACTGACCAATCCTACGATGCCCACTGACAGTGCTAAATATTAATGAGATTATCCGACGTAGGTAACCTTCCTGAAGCGTCCCTGCGCGTTAGCCATGAATATTCATTGTCCAGCTCTTTGCGGGAGTAAAATCCGTTTTCGTTAACGCCCACTCGCCAGCCTCTCTTCCTTTCATCCAATCAGTTAAACGCCTGGATGATGCGTCATTAATATTCATGAGCGCGACTGCCCGTGCGCGGCCACACAGATGCCTGAGCGCTTGTTGGCAGCGGTGACGCACAGGAAAGAGGAGCGACATCATGAGCTCTAGAAAGGGCGAGCGACACCGCGAGCTCTAGAAAGGGCGAGCGACACCGCGAGCTCTAGAAAGGGCGAGCGACACCGCGAGCTCTAGAAAGGGCGAGCGACACCGCGAGCTCTAGAAAGGGCGAGCGACACCGCGAGCTCTAGAAAGGGCGAGCGACACCGCGAGCTCTAGAAAGGGCGAGCGACACCGCGAGCTCTAGAAAGGGCGAGCGACACCGCGAGCTCTAGAAAGGGCGAGCGACACCGCGAGCTCTAGAAAGGGCGAGCGACACCGCGAGCTCTAGAAAGGGCGAGCGACACCGCGAGCTCTAGAAAGGGCGAGCGACACCGCGAGCTCTAGAAAGGGCGAGCGACACCGCGAGCTCTAGAAAGGGCGAGCGACACCGCGAGCTCTAGAAAGGGCGAGCGACACCGCGAGCTCTAGAAAGGGCGAGCGACACCGCGAGCTCTAGAAAGGGCGAGCGACACCGTGAGCTCTAGAAAAGGGTGAGAGACACCGTGAGCTCTAGAAAGGGTGAGCGACACCATGAGCTCTAGAAAGGGTGAGAGACATCAGTCCCTATCTAGTGCACACTACATAGCCATCAGCTCTCATTTCACTCAGATGAGGGCTGAATGCGCTTGTGTTTGTTTGAGCGATGCTTCTGTCACTGACGCGGGTCTTCTGTTCGGCTCGGCTCGGCTCGGCTCAGCTCTGCTCTGTTTGGGATTCGGTCCAGTCTCCCCCGGTTCTCCAGTGCTGGCCATTCAAGCACGGAAGAGAAAACCAAAAGGAAAGAAAGAGAAGACGGGTCACCATCGCAGGTAAGGAGGGGTGTGTGTGTGTGTGAGAGAGAGAGAGAGAGAGAGTCACACACACACACTCTCTCACACACACACACAGTTGTTGACACACGTGGGTTTGTTCACGTGTGTTTTGTTACAGATCCATTGGTTTGCTGAGAGAATTATTCAGATTAAAAATTTAATTATTCCAGCTGCTGTGAGAAAAGGCTATAAATGATCCGTCACCTGCAGGATCCTCACATATGATAGATAGCCTAGCAGCCGGGACTACTTCTTTATGTTTACAGACGTGACGTAATGACGCAGCGGCATGCTCGAATTTCCCGCGAAAACCTACCCATACCACTCAAACTAGAAAACATTATTATAAGCTAACCGTTGTGAATCGGGCTAAAGTAAGGAGATAGTTTTGAACACTGGCTGGTTATGTGCTTGCTCAAATATTGATTTCAGATCATTTTAACCAGAAAAAGTTACGGACTGCAGCTTTAAAGACACTTGAATTGAAAAAAAATAAAAATCAATTAACAAATACACTGAAAATAATTATTTAACAAGTTGTATTTGCTACAATGAGCTGATCTTTATCACTCATGACTGTGTTCACACTAATATACATAATAAATAACACACACACAAACAAGAAGATATATGAAAACTAATGCAAATTTCAACAAGCCGGTATTAGCTTATAAATGCATTTGGCCAGCATACATGTGATACTGCAGAGGGCAGCACTGACTCTCCTTCAGACTCAGATGCTCAGATGCTCAGATACAGGTGCTGTCATCCTCAGCTGTTTGGTTTGGCGTTGTTCATCTCCAGCAGTTGTTTAAGCAGTGGCTCAGCTGTGAGTGCTAGTGGACACAGTGATTAGTGCAGTTCAGACAGATCGGCATAGATAAACTTCTCTTGAGATGTATGGGAGACTGTAGCAAATACTATTTTGCATTCTTTCCTATTTGCTCCAACAGCAAAAGCATAAATCTACTGCTGCATTTGCCTGATGATCCAAAAGAGGGTAATAACGGAGAGCAGTGATGGAGGCTCGGTGTCTCTGGCGTCTCACGGCTCGTCTGCAGATCTGTGGAGTCAACAACGCTTGGAGAGTTTGGTGTGACTCAGAGGAACCGCTGAAACATCTGATTCTGTTCATTGTGATTTAGTGAAAACAGTTTGCTTGGATTCATCTTTCTCACGCCACGCAGATATTCTGCTGGTTTTGAGATCATATTTGTGCAGCGTCTTCTGTCAGTGTGTGTTTGACCTCCTAAACCACTTTGAGTTTGTCGAGTAATCATTTGTGTCAGACTGAATCAAATGCTTTTTAATAATAAAAGCCGTGAATGTAAAATGGGGAGAGTATTATTTCAGATGTGCAGTAGTATGAATCCAATCTGGGAGTGTTTTATCATCCCACAGAATAACTTTCACTCAAGTGACAGAAAGGTAATTATTGTGGTGAGATTGGTCTGTTTTTAATGACGATGGCTGTTCTTCAGTCAAACATGTGACCGAGCACAGAGCACAGAGTCTAGTTTAGTTTAGCATTTGGTTTAAATCCCATCAGCTCCAGCTGTTTTTTGGGTTTAAGTGTTTCTATCTTGTCTTGTGGGGTTATTTTCAGTAATGCGTATTGATGATTTTTTTCTAACTGCTGGCTCAAGTGGTTTGTTTGGCTACTTGATTTTGCTCACAGTTTGTGTCTGTTTCCACTTTATGATGTGTTTTCTTTCATGGGTTGCCCATATTTCTCCATCCTGGATTATTATTATGATCTGGTTTTGTTCGTGTACTCTGTCGATGTTCTTGTTTCACAGTAAAGCGGCTGAATCTCTGTGTTTGGGCAGATGTTCGGTGAATGTGCAGCAGGTGCGCCGGTCACACATTATCAGGACACTGAAACACAAATCAACAACATGCTTACATCAAGAGAAATGTGTGACCGCAGTGCTGATCCTCCACACGCTCACCAGTTTACACTATTTAACAGCAATTTATTAAAAGTTAAAGGGGTCATGACATTAATTTTCCTTGATCTTTTGGCATATAAGAGGTGTTTGTAGCATTAAAACATCCTGCAAATATCATAGCTTAAAAATGGCTCCTCATTACAAACAAAGCTTTTATTTAATCAAGCTCCAGAAATGGTTTGTTTTGGATCTGAGGGGCAAGATGACGTCACAGCGACACAGACGAGCATCGCGTCGCGTCAGAAGCTAATACAATCACTGCGCTATCTCGTCTGCACTGGATACAGTTACAGATATCAGTCTGTCGTCAGCACAAATGAGTGAAAGATCGTTTGTACTGATATCAGAAGGATCCCAGCGTCAGGAACTAGTGAATCGTTTATTTTAATAGTGTCTCGGATCGTGTCGGAGGATTTTGTTTTGTAATCGAGGCACAGTGTCACGGAGAGTCACATAGAAACATCTGTTGAGAGATGAAGCAGAGCTAGATCTGACTGCAGCTGCAGCACAAACCGTAAGATCATGATCTCATAATGCTTCGTCTGGAAATGACTGTTTTATTGTGATCATGTTGTCAAAACACTCGCGTGCAATCTGGAAAAGTGGCTGATTCCTGACAAGCCAAGACCCTTATTTAGAATAAGATCATTTCCCCACATATTTATTTGTTTTTTGTGCAAAAAACGTTATAAACATTATAAGTAAACATTAAAATAAAAATTCAAGTCTTGACCGCTTTAATAAATACATTTTTAAGGCCCTATGAGATACGTCTTGTTTTCTTTCTCAAATTCAGTTTCACACTAAACCGCGCGTCTGCTCATTCACACAGAGACACCCAGAGCACAGGATTCAGATTTAAACAGTATTTCTGCAGTTTAACAGGGCTCTAGACTCATTCTTTCCCACTGGTCACTCTTTTGCGACTCACTTTCTCAGTTGATCGCACGAGCACATAATTTGATCGCATTTTCTTTTGCTACAGCATGGGATTAATCAATGCATGCTGATAACCTGTTATTAGAGTCATATGGCAGTGAAAGTGGTTAACATTCAACCTGTTCTCTCTTATCAGCAGAAGGCCTATTATTTGTGATTTGAATTGTGTAAACGGGAGTTCCTCTGCTGCTATGTTATAAGCCGGCTTCGGCTGCTTTCGCTTTCAAATTCACGATCTTGTCACATTTAACAAGAAAAGATGATTGTCTGTTTTGCTTACATCTATACACCTTTCAATTTTAAGACTAAAACAAAAGATGGATTCATTGTTATTCTTAATTAAAAAGCACAACAACAATAAATCAGTAAGATACAATGACAAACTAGCTTACATAAGGTTTATTAACAAAAACGAATAAGATGAGGCATGGCACACACCACATGCTGTATTATTTATGCAAACTACTCGATTTTTTTGTCACATTTTGCCATTTTGAATTGAAAATATAGGCTAGGCTATAGTTGACTTCATTTTTGTGATTTTTAACTGTACGAGTGGTTTGATAAAGAGTTCTAGTTTGGTTTGGTTTGTTATGGCCTTGGTTGTCTCCGATTTATTGTACTTTATTTTTAACACAAAAAATACAGAATATTATCCTGAAAATAGAGAACAAGACAAAAGTAGAGCTGCAGGGAGGGCAGAGAGACGAGGGTCTTCACATGATGAGAAAACATGCTGCTGTTTTTGTGTTTGTTTGTGTGTGAAAGTGAGATTTCTCAGCAGCTGAGCCCAGTCAGATCAAACAGGGCTGTTTCATAAAACTAGCCAGGCTTATTTCAGTTAGTCTGACTTATTTTCACTTGATTTGGTTTCATAAAGCAAAATGACCATAGCTCAAGCTCAGTCACTGTGGCATGCTGGGAAACTAACCTGGCTAGCAGGCTAACTGTCAGGCTAAGCGGAGCTCCTCTAACTCTGACCAACAGGAACACATTGATATTATCACTGACTCTCTCACATACAGTTAGTTGACGTTATCAGTCTAAAAATAAAAGTATACAGAAAATGCAACATAAATAATTAAAAATATAGGCTACAACCGACTGTATTTAATGTATGGTGCCCAAGATTTAATGACTTTGTTTTAAGATATTTGAAAACATTATAACATGCTGCTACATTGTGTTTCTAGCCATGCAGCCTTTCTCTCTGGTTTTATTACAGCTGTACTTTATGGTTATTAGTAGAACATTAAAACATTACAATATAAAATTGCTCTTTAAAGCATTAAAATCACTAAATTAAAAATAAAAATAAATAATATAAAACAGTGTATTTCACCCGTGGCCAGGGAGAATACAAAATTTACATATTCAATTGGTAATATACACTGACATCAACTTCTCGCTGGCCGAGTAGCTGATAGAGTGTAAACTATCAAATTTAGAATCAATTCGAATCAGGTTGAATTAGGCTCTTCAAATCCGAGTCCTATCAAAACCTGAATCAATAATAATAATTAATTCCCTTACAACTGAGTTAAAATTCCTTACAAGACTATATTTTAACTGATAAGAGGAATACACATTGACTCATTTGAGCTAGTAATTAGGGCTGTGTTAGCTAGCTTACATTTGATTTACAGTTACTGCTATCATAAAAATACACTAATGTAGGTTTAAAATTCTACATGTGTCACATTTAATGTCCAACAACAAATATTTTAGCAGAATGCATGTTTTATTCAGAATTATTGCGCTATTATTCTATTGCGTTCCATCTGTGTAGCACACATGCGCGCAGCAGCGCTCGTTTGCCTCACCTACTCCTGACAGCAAAATGGATATATTTGCATGACTTTCTAACATTTCAACTCACACACACTCACACACACACACACTCACACACACACACACACAAACATACACTCACGCGCACATACTTGCTCACACTCCTGTCACTCACACTTTCTCTCTCTCAGACACACACACACACTCGCACACACTCGCTCACACTCACACACACTCGCTCACACTCACACTCCTGTGACACACACTCTCTCTCTCTCTCACACACACTCACACTCTCACACACACACTCACACACTCACACAAACATACACTCGCACGCACACACACACACACACTCTCTCTCTCTCTCTCTCTCAGACACACACACACTCACACTTGCACACACTCGCTCACACTCACACTCCTGTCACACACACTCTCTCTCTCACACACACACACACACACTTGCTCACACTCACTCTTACACACACACACACACACACTCTCTCAGACACACACACACTCACACTTGCACACACTCGCTCACACTCACACTCCTGTCACACACACTCTCTCTCTCTCACACACACACTCACACTCTCACACAAACACTCGCTCACACTCACACACACACTCCTGTCACACACATACACTCCTGTCACTCACACTCTCTCTCTCTCTCTCACACACACACTCAGGGCCGTCCTTAGGGAGGTGCAACTGGTGCGGTCGCACCGGGCCCCGTGCTTGAGGGGGCCCCGCGGCGAACGGACCGAGTGCGGCACCGCTCCCTATCTCGCACCGGGCCCCGTGTCAGCTAAGGACAGCCCTGCACACACCCTCTCTCTCACACACACTCACACACTCACACACGCACACACTCACTCACACTCACACTCGCATACATTCACACTCTCACACACACACACTCGCTCACACTCACGTACGTACGCACGCACACACTCACACTCGCATACACTCTCACACACACTCGCAGACTCACACACTCTCGCACACACTCACACTTGCTCACACTCACTCTCACACACTCATGCAGACACTCACTCACACACACTCTCGCACAAACTCACATTCTCACACACACACTCATGCAGATACTCACTCACACACACTTGCAGACACACACACAGACACTCACTCTCACAAACACTCTCTCTCTCTCACACACACACACACACACTTGCTCACACTCACTCTTACACACACACACACACACACTCTCTCACTCTCACTCTCTCACACACACACACACACTCACTCTCTCTCACACACACACACACACACAGTGTTTCTGGAGAAAAATCCAGCTCAGCTCATGCGTCTCGCTCTCTTTCTGTCTCTCTCTCTCTGTGGAAGTAGGCCATGTAAAGATAGCTGCTTCAAGCAGCCTAAGTTCTGACCCCTAAAATATCAGCGAGAAACTGCGGCGGATGGAGTCGCATCTGTCTCTGTATGTTTGTGTGACGCTTCATCGTTTCTGCTTTAGCTAATCACAGATCTGATGGTTGCCGTGGCGACAGGGCCGGTTTCTTCCAGCCTGTTGTGTTGCACGTCACAGGAAGTGCAGTGGATCCTCCGACATCATAGTGTGTGTGTGTGTGTGTGTGTGAGAGTGATTGAATTTGTGTGTGTGTGTTTTGGTTCGGTGCTGTAAAAACTCTACAGTTTTCTGAAACTGATATGCAAAATCATTGCATTTATCATATGCATTTATTTTTGGCCACATTAACACCAGAGCCACGTCCAAACTGCAGCACACATCTGCTGGAGTGCTTTGTGTCGATGAACAGTTTGTTTTTCTCTTCTGAAGACACTGGAGAGAGAGAGAGACAGACAGGTCACTGTAGGCCCTCCTGTAATATGCCTGTCTGTATCTCTCTGTGCTTATGGAGACTCGACCCATCTGCTGTAAAACAGAGACAGACAGACAGACGGAGGACGAGAGCAGAGAAGCAGAAAGAGAAACCAGCAGCAGCAGCTGTGAGATGAGAGAGAGAGAGAGACAGAGCGACAGGCTGTGGTAGCGAGGCGGAGGGAGCGCTGAAGTGAGGAGGGGAGCAGAGAGCTGTGCTCAGAGAGAGACGCTGCTGTTCAGAGCGCAGATCCCCCCGCTGCTGCGAGCAGTGGTGCGGCCCGTTGCGCTCAGAGCTGTTATTGTGCAGCGCTGCAGAACACAGAGACAAACACACGGAGCTTCACGCTTTCTCAGCCTCACACCGCGGCAGAGGACGAGCTACAGACGGTGCTGAGACCTTCCTCACCTCCGCATCGCCGTCTCCAGCGACTGGCCTCCATCCTTTATTCTCCTTAAGGAAGAGTAGAAGGGAGGAGGAGGAGGAGGAAGAGGAAGAGCGCCCCCTCCCCTCGCACCAGCAGAACGCTC